AAGGTTTCATTGTTATTAATTATGTTAGTTCATATATTTATGAACATGAACTACTAATAAACAATACTTCTACAGCATTTATTAATTCAACATTTACTAATCTGTTATTAAAAGCCATAGTTGTGCTTGTTAACATAAATGTTAATGCACTGTGAGTTAACATAAACTAACAACTTTAGTTAATAGTTTTAATGGTCACAAATATAAATAAATGCTGCAATGAACTTGTTTGTAGTACTGTATGTAAGTAAATACAATAACTAATACAACCATTTCATAAAGTGTGTATACATATAGATAGATAGATAGATAGATAGATAGATAGATAGATAGATAGATAGATGGATGGATGGATGGATGGATGGATGGATGGATGGATGGATGGATGGATGGATGGATGGATGGATGGATGGATGGATGGATGGATGGATGGATGGATGGATAGATAGATAGATAGATAGATAGATAGATAGATAGATAGATAGATAGATAGATAGATAGATAGATAGATAGATAGATAGATAGATAGATAGATAGATAGATAGATAGATAGATAGATAGAAAGAAAATCATTCATTCATTTTCCTTCAGCTTAGTCCATGATTTATAAGGGATCGCCGCTGCGGATTGAACTACCAACTACTTAGGCATATGTTTTATGCAGCGCATGCCCTTCCATCCACAACCCAGTACTGGGAAATAGAGTGGCTAGCATGGTCTATAGATGCCATCACATATATAGATACCATCTGACAAAATAGATTAGTTTAGCCTTTTTAGTTTTTATTGATAGAGTTCTTGTAGGGCGACACGGTGGCTCAGTGGTTAGCACTGTCGCCTCACAGCAAGAAGGTTGCTGGTTTGAACCCCGGCTAGGTGGAGTTTGCCTGTTCTCCCTGTGTGTGTGCGTGGGTTTCCTCCTGGTACTTCAGTTTCCCCCACAGTCAAAAGACATGTGCTATAGGTGAATTGAATCAGCTATATTGGCCGTAGAGTATTATGTGTGTGAATGCAAGAGTGTATGGGTGTTTCCTAGTGTTGCGGCTGGAATGGCATCCACTGCAAAAAACTTATGCTGGATAAGTTGGTGGTTCCGCTGTGGCGACCCCTGATTAATAAAGGGACTAAGCCAAAAAGAAAATTAATAAATGATAGATTAAAACATGTTATTAACATCATCATTCTGATTGGCATGTATTCATTCATAGTCTCGGTGCTTCAACTTCCTTAAAAAAAAACAGACAAAATGTTTGCGCACTGAACCGATGCACTAAAGATGTAAAGTGCTGTTTGGCTTCAACACAGTTCTGCACATGATTTATTCACGAGTGCATTAATATGCTAGAAACTCTGAAGCTGATTATAAGTGTCTGAAGTGTGTGTAAGTGACAACACACTAGCAGTTGTCTAAACACAGCTGGCAGAGAGTCCTTTGCATCATCGTGTGTCATTCTGCCAGACAAAAAACATTGAGCGAATGAAGAGGCAAATGAGTGCAGAGGGTTAGTGATGGAGGAGAGGTGGAGCTCGCAGGAAGGAGGAGTGTGTGAGTGTGTGTGAGAGAGAGATAGATAGAGAGAGGGAGAGAGAAATAGAAGTGCCATCCTACAGCTCAGAGTCCCTGTTACCGCAGATAGATTTGCTGACAGCTTGGCAAGAGGAGGGAGACGGCAGTCATGCACATTTTACAGCCCCATTATGTCAACAGGTCAGAATATAAATGCTCTTTCTCCATCCATTCATTCATCCCATTCCCCCTGTTTGTGCAGTCGTGTCTGTTGATCTACTGGAAGAGAGAAAAAGATTATTGCATTGCTGTCAGTGGTGCCTGTGTATCTCTCGTGTGTGTGTGTGTGTGTTTGTTCTGTATTACTCAAATCCCACGTGAGTGGAAATGTCTTTGAATATATTGTACAGGATTGTAAATCTGCAGTGTTTTGCTGTCATGTTGTGGAGTTTGAGTGTGGTATGTTGTCATATTTTGGTAATTTGAAATATAATCCTATTTTCATGCAGTACATGAATAGTGTAGTGCTGTTTCTTTATAATAATATTGTGAGTGATAGTGTGTTTGTGTGTGTGTTGAAGTGTTCAGGTAAATATACACCACAAACATTGGCACACGTGAGTTGGACTGTGTTCGGGGCTGCTAGGAAGTTCATAGCCTCCACATGAAGTGTAGATAAGGGTTTGTTGTTGGTGTTCACTAGCGAGCGTCCACTTGAAAATGTGTGTTTTACGGTGTGTGTACTATTGTGGTTTCGTAGTCACGTAAATTGGTTTGTTCTTTCGGTCTGTTGCTGTTCTTTCGGTTTTACAAGGTGATGCAACACTGTTGATAGACACATTTTGGCGGTCAGCTGAGGTGAAAAATGCAGTGGGAAATTATTTTAGAACAGTGCCACCTCGTGGTCGTCACATGCATTTATTTTACCCGCTCACACTTGTGTTGTTTTGTGTGGACTACTAAATTAGATGTTGAGATATTTTTGGACTGGGATCAATCATGCCATACTCATGCAGGATACTGGGAAAAAAATGTCAACTGCACATTAATGATGGTGAGGATATTGCGCCACATTTAATTGGATGGGTTTGAATGTTTATGTGATAAACTGATTGGTTATTTGGTTGTTTTTGATATGAAATTTTATTTACTTTATCCGTATTTGTCACATTTTTCTTTGTTAATTTGTTTAAATTTGTTCTAAATCTCGAGTGTATGATATTGAATGTTAAAAATGAGCAGAAATAAATACATTTTAAATGATTTACATGTGGTGGTATGGGGTTTGAAATTATTTTGTTTTTATTGTTGGATTATATTTGTGGGTGTTTTGAAAGAATCCAGACTGTAATTTTATATATACTTTTACAAGCCTGTATTTCACCAAAGAACTGCACCAATTTATAAAATGAGAATGAAGAAAGTAGGCCATATATTAAAATTCTAATATGTTAATCAGTATTTTAATGAAAAGCTGAAATATTTATACATTTGAGGATAAATTACCTATTGAATTTGTACTCATTTTTTCCACATCACATAAGTGAAATTCAGAGATTTTATTTAGACTGAACTATACAGAGAGCTGCAGCCACGAAACACTTAACGCTGTGGGTTAGCTATATGTATTAAAAAAATTACTTTAGAAAATTCTTTAAAATGAAAAAACATTTCACAAGAGGGCTATTAATTTTATATATTTATACAATTAACCCTCTTGTGCTTTTTTTTTCAAGTTTTCCAAAGTAAAAGCTTTAAAGGGTCATGAAACCCCTCTTTTTCGGCTCAAGTGTACTTCAGAATTTAAAAAAAATGCTCCAAGATGGGCTTGGAGTGCTGCGAGAAGAGGGAGGAGTGGGAGGGGCCGGTAGAGCAGGGGAAAAAGAAGGGAGCAAACAACTGTTGTCAATTGGCTCACAAAATGGGACACAAACCGTGAGGAGATCCATGATATAGTTATAAGAAATTTAATGTCCTGCTACATTTGTTATTCTTAATTTTTAATATACACATAACCACAATTTGTTATATCATCATAAAGATGATTGTGTTCATATAAATGTGGAGGACTTCTCTCCTCCTCAAACCCTGTGGATCATGGAAACAAACACATACAACCCGTGCCATGTGCAGACAAGGCCTCACCCATGGGTCTCACAGCTGGGCAGGTCTGCCTTGCCTTCGGAAAGCACGTTCTCTCATGAATAATTAAGAAGCAGGGTCTTCTCATAGAATAAGAAAACTCAGCTATAGTAATAATTATGAAAAACCGATGCATCATCACTCCACTAACAGATACGCACTACGTCACAGATTTTGAAAAATGATTTTAAACCTGGAAGATGAAATGAGCTGACAAAAGCTCAAAATTATCCAGTTTTCCCTACACTTAAAGCTAACAGGGGCTAATGTTGCCTAAACTGCTGTTAAAAACACACAAATCTGTTAAAATCTCAGAAAAAAGTACTCTTGAACCTTTACTTGACCTTTAAAACTCACTTATGCAAAGCTGAATACCAGTATCTAGTAAAATATTATTTACTGGCATCGTAGAAAAGACTAAATAAATATGTTAATTTTAATCAATCATTAAAACTTTGCTTCTAAATCTGTTTAAGAATATATTTTCTCCATTAAACACCACTTAGGAAATATTTTTAAAGAATATTCATTTAACAGGAGGGCTATTCATTTTGACTTCAACTGTGTGTGTATATATATAAAGAGTTCAGATGCAAAAACTTCTAAAAGCCATCTGAAATTTTCTTCTAAAATGAGCATTTTTCTCAGCCTCCTATTTTTATGTTCAAGTATTTCACTTTCATAGCAATGAAAAGAACTTATTTGTCACTATAAAAATATAAATTTCTGAGCCTACACACAAGAGTTGGAGAAAAATGCAAATTTTAGAATATCAAGTGGCATTTAGAGGCCTTTGCATTTAAACCCTTCATATACAGTTGAAGTTAGAATTATTAGCCCCCCTGTTAATTTTTGTCCCCAATTTCTTTTTACCGGAGAGAAGATTTTTTTTTTTAAATTCATTTCTAAACATAATTTTTGATATATTTCTAATAACTGAATTATTTTATCTTTGCCATGATGACAGTAAATAATAATTGACTAGATATTTTCAAGACACTTCTATACAGTTTAAAGTGACATTTAAAGGCTTAACTAGGTTAATTAGGTTAACTAGGCAGGTTAGAGTAATTAGGCAAGTTATTGTATGACAATGGTTTGTTCTGTAGACTATTAAAAAAAAAAGAGGGGGGCTGAAAATTTTGACCTAAAATATTTTTATTATTATTAGAAAATGCTTTTATTCTTGCCGAAATAAAACAAAAAGACTTTCACCAGAAGAATAAATATTATCAGATATACTGTGAAAATTTTCTTGCTCTGTTAAACATCATTTGGCAAATATTTACAAAATAAAAGGGGGGCTAATAATTCTGACTTCAACTGTATATCACCATTCTCTTTTTGTCAGATGGCCAAATGGAGTGAAGAGGAAAAGAAAGAATAGTCAATGCTCTATGAACAGCACATCCGGTAAGAATCTGGTGTCACTGCAGTCAAAACCCTAAATATGATGGGCTTATGATGCCCAGGGATGTAGAGGTTGGTGTGTGTTTGTTTTCTGCTGCAGTCGCCTATTCTCTCCTCATCTTTTAGACAAGAGCATCTCTGTTCCTGGGTACGTTCCCAGTTATCTGGAGAAAGATGAGCCGTGTGTGGTGTGCGGAGACAAGGCCACTGGCTATCATTACCGCTGCATCACATGTGAGGGCTGCAAGGTGAGACTTCCAGCGTCTGAAGCGCTTGACTCGTGATAAATCTGTATTTAATCATTAAGCTGCTTTCTTCTGTCTGCACTGTACACAGGGTTTCTTCAGGAGGACAATACAGAAAAACCTTCATCCGTCCTATTCCTGTAAATATGACAGCTGCTGCATCATTGACAAAATCACCCGCAACCAGTGCCAGCTGTGCCGCTTCAGGAAGTGCATCTCAGTGGGCATGGCCATGGACTGTGAGTGTCCACACAAACAAACTATGTACTTATTATTTTGTTTGATGATTTTTTAAGTGTGTACGCCTTTTGTAAAGCTGCTTTGAAACATTAATTATTGTGAAAAGTGCTACACAAATATGTAAATAAGTAAAGGTTTATTTATGTACAGTGCATCCGGAAAGTATTCATAGCACTTCACTTTTTTCACATTTGTTTATGTTACAGCCTTATTCCAAAATAGATTAAATTCATTAATTTCCTCAAAATGCTACACACAACACCTCATAATAACAATGTGAAAAAAAAAACTTTTTTTTTTAATTGTTGCAAATGTATTAAAAATAAGAAACCTGAAAAAAAAACTGTTGATGCCCTTTTTCAGCAATTACAGACTCAAGTCTTTTTAAATATGATGCTTCAAGCTTGGCACACCTGTCTTTGGGAATTTTAGCCCATTCCTCTTTGCAGTACCTCTCAAGCTCTATCAGGTTGGATGGGAAGTGACAGTGTACAGCCATTTTCAGAACTCTCCAGAGATGTTCAATTGGATTTAGGTCTGGGCTCTGGCTGGGCCACTCAAGGACATTCACCAAGTTCTTGTGAAGCCACTTTATTAATATTTTGCCAGTGTGCTTACTGTTGCCCCAGTCTGATGTCAAGTTCACTCTGAAGCAGGTTTTCATTCAGGATGTCTCTGTACATTGCTGCATTCATCTTTCCCTCTATCCTGACTAGTTTCCCAGTTCCTGCTGCTAAAAAACATCCCCATAGCATGATGCTGCCACCTCCATGCTTCACTGTAGGGATGGTATTAGCCTGGTGATGAGCGGTGCCTAGTTTTCTCCAAGCGTAACGCCTGGCATTCACTTCAAAGAGTTCAATTTTAGTCTCATCAGATCAGAGAATTTAGTTTCTTATGGTCTGAGAGTCCTTCAGATGCCTTTTGGCAAATTCCAGGCGGGGAGTGGCTTCCATCTGGCCACTCTACCCTACAGTCCTGATTGGTGGATTGCTGCACAGATGCTTGTCCTTCTTTAAGGTTCTCCACTGTTCACAGAAGAATGCTGGAGCTCAGATAGAGTGACCATCGAGTTATTGATCACCTCCCAGACTAAGGCCCTTCTCCCCCGATCACTCAGCTTAGATGGCCGGCCAGCTCTAGGAAGAGTCCTGGTAGAAAAACATCTTTCACTTATGGATGATGGAGGCCACTGTGTTCATTGGAACTTTCAGAGCAGCAGAAATTTTTCTGTAACCTTCCTCAGCCTTGTGCTTCGAGACAATTCTGTCTCTGAGGTCTTCAGACAATTCCTTTGTCTTCATGCTTGGTTTGTGCTTTCACATGCGCTGTCAACCCTGGGACCTTATGTAGGCAGGTGTTTGCCTTTTCAAATCATGTCTAATTAATTGGATTTAGCACAGGTGAACTGCAATTAAGCTGTTGAAACATCTTAAGAATAATCGGTGGAAACGGAATGTACCTGATCACAATTTAGAGCTTCACGGTATAGGCTGTGAATACTTATGTACATGTGATTTTTCAGTTTTTTTTTTTTAATTTTTAATAAATTTATAACAATTTCAAAAAATCTTTTTTCACATTGTCATTATGGGGTATTGTGTGTGGAATTTTAAGGAAATAAATTAATTTAATCCATTTTGGAATAAGGCTGTCACATAAAAAAAAAATGTGGAAAAAATGAGAAGCTGTGAATACTTTTTCCGGGTGCACTGTAGCACTTTTCTCAGACATTGAGTCACAAAGTGCTTAACAATAAGAGAATAGTGTTCATTAAAAGCTTGACCAAAAAGGTGTGCCTTTAAATGCTTTTTTAAAAGTTCAACTGAACCCAGATTTCTCAGTGTAAGGAGAGGTCCAGAGCCTTGGGGCTACAACATAGAAGATACAGTCATCTTTAATCTTAAGATGAGTTCTAGGAATGGCAAAAAGGTCTTTGCCTGAAAACCTCAGAGACCGGCTACATGAGTGACTATGTAAAAGATCTTGAATATATAGGGGTGCTTGACCATGCAGAGCTCTATATGTAAAGACCAGAATCATCAAATTTACTCTAAAACTAATAGGGAACCAGTGAAGTCCCTTAAGCACAGGAGTAATGTGCGACCTCCTACTGGTGCTGGTTAAAAGCTTCACAAAATACAATCAATCCATGGAAGATTTGTTCAGACAAGTGAACAGAACATTACAATAATCCAACCGTGAAGACCACATTTTTAATGCCACTGCACTTTGAAGATGACAAACCTCCCAAACAATAAACTTGAATTGAATGAATTGAATTGAATTAAAGTAAATCTATAGAATAAAACAAAAATGTTATAAATTTATAAATTGCTGTATTTTTTATCAATTTATTAATAAAATGTATTAATATTAATGACTATAGTCTGTTTCCTCCTATTTTTATAACCTTTTACACACATTTTATTTATACTTTACAAAAGACACCCACATATTTTATTTAATTTTTTTATTTTATTTACATGTGACTTATTAGTGACTTATCTAAAGCCAAAACATTTGTCCAAAGTATTACCAAGTATTCAACAGATTTTTATTGAGATTTCTATATGTGTAAAAAACAATTGAATAAATGCATAAATAAATTAAATGACATGACTCCTGTCTCTCAAAAAAGTAGGTCTTTAAACATGGCCTTTGAAAGCGACAGCTATAATCTGCTAGCGCATAATAGCATTACATAAGATTGTCTATCATTTCCTGTTTAGCTCTGAGATTATTAAATGAGTGATTTGTATCTGTGGCAGTGGTGCTGGATGATTCGAAGCGCGTGGCCAAGAGGCGTCTGATCGAAGAAAATCGGGAGAAGAGAAAGAAAGAGGAGATTGTGAAGACGTTACACAATCGACCTGAGCCCACCGTGTCAGAGTGGGAGCTCATTCGTATGGTGACGGAGGCTCATCGGCACACCAATGCCCAGGGCCCTCACTGGAAACAGAAACGCAAGTTCCTAGTAAGCGACCTGTTTGTGTCTCTGCTTTAATGTCTAGGATTTGTCCTGTGCCTTAAAAAGTCAAAAATGTAACACAGGCCCGAAGCCAGGGGGGGTTCGGATAGTTCGAAAGACACTCCCCCCTCCTCCTGACAAAGTCCACAATTTGATCACTGTATGAGCTCGTTTATCCCATTTTTGGAATTCTTGACTGCTATGCCATCATGAACTCTGAAAATTATAGATAGAAGAAGGCTTTAAGACAAATTCATTTTTTTATTATTCAAGTGGCCAAATTCTGACTGAGGAAAGTTGCATGAGCTGGCCAGTTTTTATTTTATGAAAAAGTTTTACAAGATTCCTATTTTTTTAATGTTGAATGACAATAAAAAAATAGGAATCTTGTAAAACTTTTAAATTTCTTCATTATTTTTTTAAAATGCTAATCTCATAACAATATTTATAAAACTGGATTAACTTACAGTTTAAATCCAAATTTGTAAATAAATTCTTCGTAGTAAAATAGTATAGCGAGCACAAAACTGTAGGAAATATTTTTGGTCCATCAAAAAAGGGGGGTTATTATCATCATCTGACAAGCTGATCCAGCAAAGATTAATTCTTAAAATGTTACTAAAATGCACAATTGAAAAGAAAATGAGGCGAATAAGTGCTAAAAAGGTCCACTTTTTCAGAAAAAATGAACCACCACTTTCAATAGGCTGGCTGCGGGCCTGTAATAGACCTCGAAAAATTAACTGAAGTATTCTGTCCTACAAACACAAAGGACCTTAACTAGAGTGTGGAACTGAGAAAATTTTTTTAATTAATAAATAATTAATAATCTAAATATAATCTAAACAATCGTTTTTCTCCAGCTAAATTAATTATTTGTAACACTAGAAATCTGGCAATTATAAAAAGAACTAAATTCTGTATGTTTTTTGAATAGCAGCATTGTGTTCTAGGTCTATAAATTATTTAATAATAATAGTTTAATAAATTATTTTAAACTAGTCTTAATTTACACGTTCATGTGATTCTTCCTCTAAAGCTTGATTTATTCTTTTGCATGGTTCACAATGTGAAGTGATGGTGATAGACAGCAGTGAAATATTAGTGCTAAATGAATACGTTTGTTTATAGCTGCATCTGAAAGTATAGGTAACTGACTTGTTGCCTCACTTTATAATAGGCAGTGACTTTTACATTTACATTACTTTATTTAGATGCTTATACCCAAAGCAACTTACAAATTAGTATAAACAGGCTGTCCATAGGGCATTTAAAATGTATTACAAACTGATAAATCAATTTAAAGAAATTGAAGGATCTTAAAATGATTTAAAAGTCTTTAATGCTGTTTTACAAGCTATTACATTTTGTGTTGTTTCATTTATACATTATAAAGTTGTATATGAAAAAGTTTGCCTGAAATTAATCTGCAAATATATCAATAAAACCCTGCTTGATTTAACATCAGGATGCTTAGTTTACTGCCGTAACCTATGTAACACCATTATGTCTGCTGTTCCATAGGCTCCACCTGCTTTATTAGCATTTTTATTCAGTAAATAAACAATGTTTTAGTTTATAATTACTTTCCTACAGTCAAATTTTTTTTTCAAAAAATGTAAGTTAAAATGTTGCCAATGTTATTGATTGCAACCTAAAGTGGCGATGAATTCTTAAAAAGTATGGAAAGAGTCTTAAGAATCGGTATTAAAGGAATTGAATTTTACTCTCTAAATCCTGTATATACCTTGATAAAAAAAGCACTTCAAACACCAGAGAGCAACAATAAATACAGTAGATGTCATGATGAGATAAATTAGTATAGCCATTTTAGGTTTTTATATTGATTATTTCCCAGAGATTAGTTACGGCTGGAAGGGCGTCTGCTGTGTAAAAACGTGCTGGATAGGTTGGCGGTTCATTCCGCTGTGGCGACCCCGGATTAATAAAGGGACTAAGCCGACAAGAAAATGAATGAATATTGATTGAGTCCTTGTAGGGCGATACACTGGCTCAGTGGTTAGCACTGTCATCTCACAGCAAGAAGGTCGCTAGTTCGCGTCCTGGCTGGGTCAATTGGTGTTTCTGTATGGACTTTGCATGTTCCTCCTGTGTTCACGTGGGTTTCCTCCGGGTTCTCCGGTTTCCCCCACAGTCCAAAGACATGCGGTATAGATGAATTAAATAAACTAAATTGGCCGTAGTGTATGTGTTTAAATGTGAGAGTGTATGAATGTTTACTAGTACTGGGTTGCAGATGGAAGTGTAGTGCAGCTGTGTAAAACATGCTGGAGTTGGTGGTTCATTCTGCTGTGGCGACCCTTGACGAATAAAGGGACTAGCCGAAGGAAAATTAATGAATGAATCCTTATAATGGACTGTTTGTCAAGTGTCTGCTGTATATAGAGAGGATGGAGGAAAGAGAGTGTTTGCCTATAAGTGGTTTGTCAAGCCCACTCACCTGTCTGAAGCACACTCAGAATTGCACAATGTTATCACATGGAGTGTGAAGTGTCTGGTGCATATGGAGAGTAAAGAGTGTCTTTTGAGGCAACGTTTGAGCTGGAAGAAACCTAGCGAAAACGATTTCAGACAAGTTTTACCATAATAATTAAATCATAGACTACCAAATGTAGATAACTAAGTGAACTGTTGGCTTACTATTCTAACTTCATCAGAACCCATGTAAGAATATTTTGAGTTTTAAAATATCATTCATAGTGGTCTTAAGAAATGAAGGCCTTTAAATGTCTTAAATGACTTGGTGAATACTGCAGAAACCCTGCTGAACTTGTCAGAGAGCATGTAAAGCACGGATTTATTGACTGCTGGACGGATGGTTGGGTGTTCAGCTACTGTAGATCACAAATAGCCTGAAGCTGTAGTCCGTCTGTCACCTGTTCTTTTGAGGGTCGTACCAGTGTAATAAAACTGAACAGTTTTTTTTTTTTTTTTCAACATGACAATCGTGTTTGAATGTCAGGGGTCACAAAACACATGTTGCTTGGCAACCGGAGTTGTTAGACAAAGTGAGCTGTCATATTTGAGAGATGATGGCATGACTGAAAAACACTTAACTTACCCTCATACAATCAGAAGAATCAGCTTGAGGATAGATGGGTTGACCCGTTTGTAGTCAAGAGTTTGGTTTGTTTAGTTACCAAATGTTAAGACAGCAATAGGATTGGTAATGATAAATAAATGTACACTACCATTGTTTATGCCTACCAAGGCTACATGTTTTTAATTAGAAATGCAGCAAAACAGTAAAGTTGTGAAGTATTGTTTAAATTTAATGTAACTGTGATTTATATATTAAACTTTCATTTATTCCTGTGGTTCAAAGCTCAGTTTTCAGTGTCACACGATTCTTCAGAAATCCTTCAAATATGATGATATAATGATAATTTCTTCTCATCATTATTTCTTATTTTAGCTAAATTATAATTTTAAGAGAGCATAAAATCAAGATAAAACAGTTGTAGTTTTTCTTTGGTATATTACAGTGTTTATTATATATGATTTATCCATTCATCTCATTTTTAATCCATGTATCTTTTAATCAAGATCACTTTAAAGACGTCTCTTTTCTCATAAGTATTTTCTAAAGCGAGAACCTAACAGCCGCTCATCACATGGATTCAACCAATTGGAAACCACAATGATCCAGTTAAATGCTTATGGACAAAATGAACTCCTCCATTTATTTCTTGTTTGTGAAGCCATTTCACTTTAAAATGTGACCCTGAATCACAAAATCTTAAGTCTTAAGTTGAAGGGATGTATTTTGTTAATAGTCAAAGCAAAACTGCATTGTATGGTTCAAAATGACAGAATTTCTATAATAAAAAAGTAATTAACATATTAAGTAAAAGATCATGTTTCATGGAGACGTTTTGTTAATTTCCTATTGTAAGTATATCAAAAGTATTTTTTTTATTAGCATTGTGCATTAATGATCAATTAATTGGGACAAATCTTCTCAAAAATGTTTTGTTAACCTTAAGATTCTAGATTTTTGAATGTTTGTATTTGACCAAATGTTGTCCTTTCCTTAAAAACATGCGTCTTTAGAGCAATTATTCAGCATTCAAATATCAGTTTAAAAAATTGACAGTTATGACTGGTTTTGTAATCCAGGGTCACAAATATCATTGCTGAACCACATTTGTTTGTCTTTCAGCCAGAAGACATTGGACAGTCTCCAGCCCCGACATCAGACAATGATAAAGTGGACCTGGAGGCCTTCAGTGAGTTTACCAAGATCATTACGCCTGCCATCACACGAGTTGTGGACTTTGCCAAAAAACTGCCCATGTTCTCCGAGGTCAGTGTCTGCATGTGATAAATAGCGTTGTCCACAGTATCAGTATTTCAATGCCTACATACAGTTTAAGTCCAAATTATTAGCCCTCCTGTTCATTTATTTGTCATAGATTTCACAAATAAATTAACAGAGCAAGGACTTTTTCACAAAATTTCCTATATTTTTTCTTCTGGAGAAAGTCTTATTTGTTTTATTTTGGCTAGAATAAAAGCAGTTTTTATATTTAAAAAAAAACATTTTAAGGTCAATATTATTAACCCCCTATTTTTAGATTGTCCACAGAATGTTAACCACTGCACATTGAACTGAATACTAGTATCTTGGAAAAAATATTATATAATGTCATAATGACAAAGATAAAATAAATCATGTTAGAAAGATTATTAGAAAGTAGTTGTTAAAACTAAATAAACTTAGAAATGTTTAGAAAACAAATCTTTCCATTATACAAATGGGGAGGCTAATAATTCTGACTTCAACTGTATTTCCTAAACAATGAGCCATACTTCTGGTTTTAACTCTATTAGTGAATAAAAATTGAAATTTGAATTAATACTGTGGCAATATTTCCCCATGCTCTCGAAAATGGTTTTAAGTTTTGATTTTTATTAAGGAATTGAAAACACACCTCCATTGGAAATTAAGGCTCTGCACAGCTAATGGTTTTTCCATGAATGCACACATTTTAGTAAATAACAGTGTGCTGCATTATTATGGCAATTGTCAGGCAGTGGCTGCTGTGAAAGTGCAATTATCTGCTCATCTCCAGCTGTCACTGAACCTTCTGAAGCATGACTGCATGTGTGGAGGAAAGAGGCTGTTTGTGCTTCCTGTGCTTTTACATCCGCCTTATGCTGTCATATTTAAGTAATGGCTTCATTAAACCATTAGCTATGATTATGAGCTGTTGCTGTGCTTCTGAATCACTGGTTATTTTGCCATTCTAATTGCTTATGTGAACATGTTATGGTCACAAATCTTCACTTCATACATTGAAGGGCATTGAAGCTTCTATTTCAGGGGAAATGTGTAATTACACTGGGAATCAGAAAAATGTCATTCATTTAATAATAATAGTGATTCCACTACTATTACCACAACCACCACCACTACTACTACTACTACTACTACTACTACTACTACTACTACTAATAATAATAATAATAATAATAATAAATAAATGGATGGATGGATACCAAATTGGTCATTGTCAATTGCAGGAGCCAATATTAGAATTTTTTGCCCATTTGGAACATTAGATTTCTGCCTGCGTTTTAACCAGTTCTAATACAAACATATCACAAACATATCATTATGAATTTCTTTCAAACTTTAAGGAAGACATTTTCTAATACTAAGATATTAAGAAGATATTTAGTAATACTTCCTAAAACAGTTTTTTACTAATACATTTTATTTTATTAATTTACACCTGTTGCTTTATTAATTAATTAATTACTTTATTTATTTATTTATTCATTCATTCATTCATTCATTCATTCATTTATTTATATTCATTTATTTACTTGTTAGCCTAGTTGTAACTTAAATTTCTGCCTTTGTGCCTACATTTTAAGTTTTAAATAAAATAAAATAAATAAATAACAGTTAATAGTTAAAGTATGTTAATGCTTACTCCTTTAAATTTTGTAAAATAGAAAAATCACAATGTATATATATAATGTTTTACTTGTCAAATAATATTTTCCATTTATACATTTTAATATTTTGTCTTTTTTATTATTTTTGTTTTATTTAAATGTGTTTGTTATTTTATTATTTTGTCTTTTCATTTTAATATTTTGTGTTGTAAAGAAAATTAAACATTTCAATGTATATATAATGTGCTTATTTTATTATTTGTATTATTACTTGTGAAATATAATTTATTATTATTATTATGTTACCCAATATTGTTTTATCCCTGTAGATTTGAAGTGTAAAGCACTTTGAGAATTACATTTTAAAGGTGATATATTAAAAACATATATATATGATTTTTATTTTTATACTTTTTCCATTCCAAACTGCAATCCAGTCAGCAGTGTTTTTCCATGCCATACTTTTCCAGAAAGTTTCTGATTATAATTATCAATCCTTGTAATTATCAACCCTGCCTTAGCTATGCTAACAAAACTATTATGAGTCATTCTTGCCATTACAACAAAGCCTCATCAAGCCAGGTTAATTTTAACCCCTCGTTATGGTGAGTAACTGAAAAAGTTGAAAGGCCAATTGTCAGCTATCTTCATTGTTGATTAGCCTTGAAATATACACTACCGGTCAAAGGTTTGGGGTCAGTTTTTTTTTCATGTTTTTTTTTTTAAAAGAAAATTATTCTGTTCATCAAGGCGGCATTTATTAAATGTAAAACAATGTAAAATTGTTAAATATTTATTAAGATTTTAAATAACTGCTTTCTTATTGTATGTAGTTTCAAATAAAATTATTACTCCAGTCATTATTATTATTATTATTATTATTATTTTTTTTTTTACTTTTTATTTTTTATTATTATTATAACAATAATAATAATAATAATAATAATAATAATAATAATAATAATAAACAGCTAATATTAGAGTGATTTCTGAAGGATCATGTGACTCTGAAAACTGGTGTAATGAAGCTTAAAAAATCTTTAAAATCACTGGAATACATCATTAAATTAAACTATAAACTACATTTAAATGGTTATTTTATAGTGCAATAACATTTTACAATTTGTACTGTACATTATAATTTTTTGATCAAATAAATGCAGCCTTGGTGAGCAGGAGAAGTTTATTTTAAAACATTTATATGCACACCACGAAACCTGCAAAGACACAAGAATGAGCTGTTCTCTGTTTGTTGTGTGTTTTCAGCTGCCCTGTGAAGACCAGATCATCTTGCTGAAAGGCTGCTGTATGGAGATCATGTCATTGCGAGCAGCGGTGCGCTACGACCCAGAGAGCGAGACTCTGACCCTGAGCGGAGAGATGGCCGTCAGTCGAGAGCAGCTGAAAAACGGAGGGCTCGGAGTGGTTTCTGATGCCATCTTTGATTTGGGGAAGAGCCTGTCACAGTTTAACCTGGATGACTCTGAGGTGGCACTGCTACAAGCTGTGCTGCTCATGAGCTCAGGTGAGCAGAACACACAGCTGTGGCACACATGCACTGTAAACACGTCACATTAAAGGATAGTTCACCCAAAATGTATGCTTTTTCTACCCTGAAACACAAAAGAAGAAGTTGTTTATTTAATAATACTAAAGTCACTTATTCAGCGATAATCTTGCCTTCGGCTGCAGCTTTTTAATATAATATGGTGTCCTTAAGTCTAAATAACTCTAAGACAGTATTAAGCTATTTTAATTCTGTTTTCTTTGCTGTTGACTGTGAAACAAAAGCCCAGTTCAGTGTTGACTGCTCACGAACAAACAAAGTAGTGCTGAATCATTTCAAATAAATGTATTGTAACATGTTGTTCACGTTAAATTATAGACATTTATCACATTATTCCAGTTTTTCTTCTCCCTCGAAATGAGGCACAGGTGGCATCCTGATCATGGCATTTTTGCTACTTTAAATGAATACATGTTGCATTGTTATTATTAATGAGGGCGAAGCGGTGGCGGAGTAGGTAGTGCTGTTGGCTCATAGCAAGAAGGTCGCTGGTTCAAGCCTCGGCTGGGTCAGTTGGCATTTCTGTGTGGAGTTTGCATGTTCTCCCCGTGTTCGCGTGGGTTTCCCCCACAAGTCCAAAGACATGCGGTATAGGTGATTTGGGTAGGCTAAATTGTCCATTGTGTATGTGTGTAAATGAGAGTGTATGAGTGTTTCCCATTGATGGGTTGCAGCTAGAAGGGCATCCGCTGCATAAAACATATGGTGGATAAATTGGTGGTTTATTTTGCTGTGGCGACCCAAGATTTATAAAGGGACTAAGATGAAAATGAATGAATATTATTAATTATTATTATTGTAATCTTATCAAGTAAATCATTATTTTATTTAAAAAGCTAACATTAAATGTAATTAAATACATGACTAGCATTTGTACATCAATCGGGGACTGTCAGTATCTATTTCTGCTTGCTTGAGACTCTGACTGCTTGCTTGAGACTTTGAACCTGAGCAGAGAGATGGGCGTCAGTTGAGAGCAGCTGAAGAACGAAAGGCTCGGAGTGGTGTTTAATGCCATCTTTGATTTGGGCAAGAGCCCAAATCAAAAGCTAGAGGTGGTACAAAATTTAATGGAGTTGGCAACCATGTTATTTTCTGTGCAGGATAAACCTTTTTTTTATTATTATTATTTTAATACAACATCGGCTCATGACAACTTTAAATGTGTTATAGGAATTGCATAAAACTTACTCTGTCTATTATCTAGTTACAGATGTGTAAGAAACATTAGATTTAAAAAAAAAAAACATGTGAAAATAGTTAAAAAAAGTGACTGCAATTTATTCCTTTAATTTTTATTATTATAGTGCCATAATTTTTATAATCGGTTGTAATCCTTTTATTATAATTTTCGTACTAGGAGTATGCATTATGCAATGTATTACAATGAACAAGATGGTATTGTAATTATTGTTTTATCAATATGCAAGCCGACTTTGAGTGTCACTTTGCAAAAAAAAAAAAAAAAAAGAAACCTGCTTGTACAAAAACATTGATTGCCAGATAAAGCCAATTACAATGCAAGCCCTTGTAATTCAAAATAAGACAAAATCTTTGACTGCAACTTTTAGTGGAGTACCGAATCTTCTCCATTCTAAGATGGTACATAATCCACTGATTACAAGTTGGAAGAAATTTGTCCTTCCATTTTAGCAGTATAATAAGTCTAGCAATTAATGTTGAAAAAGAAATCATACTTTAGGTATTATTGTTTAATTTGGGATCTGTAATTAAATCAAATATTCCGACAATAGGGCAAGGGTCAATTGATGCATGCTAGATATTTGAAAAGAAATTAAATAGAATAATAAATGTATTTAATAAAGAAAATTCCAAACACATCTTTAAAATCTACATTACGTGTTATAAAATCATGTGTTTTAAAGAATGATTTAAAGATCATCCTTAAAGACTTGGCTTGAATTCGCTGTAGTTTTACAATCTTTATGTAATCCACCACACAGATCGCTCTGGACTGACATGTGTGGAGAAGATCGAGAAGTGTCAGGAGATGTACCTGTTGGCATTCGAGCACTACATCAACCACCGCAAGCACAACATCTCCCACTTCTGGCCCAAGCTGCTGATGAAGGTGACGAACCTGCGCATGATCGGCGCCTGCCACGCCAGCCGCTTCCTGCACATGAAGGTGGAGTGTCCAACAGAACTGTTCCCGCCGCTCTTCCTGGAGGTCTTCGAGGATCAGGAGGTGTGACCCAGAGACACAGCGGCAAAACAAACTCCACCTCATTTTGTTTTCTCGCAAAGCATACCAGAAGCGTTTTTTGTTTCTCACAAGCTCGTGCGCTCTCGAAACGGGACATGTACTTTATTTTGCATCGTCGGTCCCTCGTCTGCTTTTGTCTGGGATTTGTTTCCGGGTTGTCAGCCTCCACACGTTTCGACCCTGCCATTCAGATATTCCTCTCACAGACGGACAAAAGCTAGCATGCATCAACCTACCTCTCATACAAACATACCTCCCAATCTCAGAAGGAGCTTATTTTTAAAAGCGTGACAAAATAAAACAAAAAAAAGCGCCACATTTTTCAATAGCGGTTTCGGAAACGCTAGCTGTCGTTAACATCTTAACTCCTACGTTTGAGCTCTACACTATTAAATAGTAACGAATAAATTGGGGGCTATTTATTTATTTTTTTCATCTTCGTCTTTGCACGCATAGAATATCTCCTTTTAAAAACATAACTACCTGATGTTTAGTGCACTCGGACACTCTGTACATTTCGTTTTGTGTGCACTTCTCATACCTCATTTACACCAGCATTGACATACATGTAGCTACATGTCCGTACATGTATGTATGTATGCACAGTTCTACCTTGCATCGGCCCGTTTTTCTTCTTAAACCAAGTCGATACAGTTCTCATGTACAAACCTTCCTTCATAGCATATCCACTTGTATTGCATATGTTACTTATGCTAAACATTTTTGTGACCTCATTCTCTGAAAAGCCTCTCATCACTTTCTGTCGTTTGACCCATAGAGCTGTGAGGTATTGATCTGTCCCGGTTGGACAAATTAATGGTCGCAGATATATTAAGCCATGCTGTTAATGATATGCATAGATTTCTTGGAAAACCTACAGGTTATTCATTGTGCTCCAATATAATTGATTCATCAGATGATAGTATCATAATGCTTTGAAATATGAATAATGGTATTACATAGCTAATTTAAAGAATACTATGGTATTATGTGAGAGACATGATAGCGCAGTGGTACTTCTTTTTAATGAGATCTAAATATTACCCCTGAATTCCATTCATCTGTCTAACTTGGACAACATTTGGGAGGTAAATGACCTTAAAATATTAAGGAAAAACAAAAAAAAAAGTTCCTAAAAATACTGCTTTGAAATATTGACAATAAAAGCAGAAGCCTAGATTTAGATGGTCGGGTACAACTTGGCTAAACATCTAAATAGACTTTTCAACAAATGCTAATTTTCTATTTATTTCTAATTATTTTGTGTGTTAATTTAAAATGACTAAATTAAATCAAAAGTATTTTAGTGTATACGTATTTTTTTATTATCTTGGTTTGCTACAGAAGTAAAGTTTATTTATATACTAATTTCGAGAGGATCACGTGCTTGCGAGTGACCACGGCTAGTCCCACATTAGCTAATGTGTAATACAACAATCAGATGATTCCTCCTGAAGAATCCCCTTTTTCAAACCTACTCCTCCCTTTTCTTTGATAGGGTGGCACGGCGGCCCAGTGATTAGCATTGTTGCCTCACTGCAAGAAAGTGTCTGGTTTAAGTTAAGTTTGAGTTTACACGTTCTTCCGGTGCTTGCGTCAGCTTCTCCCGATTTCTCCGGTTTCCTCCCACAGTCCGAAGACATGCATAATAGGTGAATTGACCAAATCAAATTGGTACCATAGATGAGCTCTTAATCAGCAGTATATATCTCCTTACCAATTCCTAATTTCCCATTGGCCATAAATTAGCAGGGGAGTTCTCGAGACCTACCTGAGCTCAAACTCCCCTCTCATACTGCAAACGGGAAGGAGCCCTGGGCTCAAGGATCTTCTGAGCTCAGAGATCTCGCCCGGGACAGCATGCCAAACACACTTTTAATCATTCATCAGCTAAGTGTAAACTCTTGAAATTAACTTCAATTGTAGGCCCAAATTTCAGCCATTCTAGCTTTTCAACTACTTTTCCCATTCATTTTTTTTCATTTGGGGTTTAAAACATTTAATTTAACTCCATCAGTTAAAGCAATAGTTTACTCAACCTAAGTGCAAATGTGGACTTGAAGTGTGTATTCATGAAAAGCCTGCCATGAGCAAAATGAAAATGATCATATACTTGTCCTCAAGCCATTAGCTGCATATGCCGAAACATATATATATATATATATATATATATATATATATATATATATATATATATATATATATATATATATATATATATATATTTTTTTTTTTTTTTTTTTTTTTTTTTTTTTGTGCTACGTTCTGCTATAGTTCAAACAAAACTGAAAATTATTTTATCATTTACTCCCCCTTTACTAGTTCCAAACCTGCTTGGCTTTCTTTCTTCTGATCAATACACAACCAGATATTTTGAAGTAAACCTGTAAACTTCCATAGGAAGTTTTCCATTTGAAGTAAACTTCCATAGGATTTGTTTTCTATGGTTTTGCTATGATTTTTAGCTTTCTTCAAAATATCTTCAACAGAACAAAGAACTCAAGAAGATTTGTAACCACTTGAGAGTTGAGAGTAAAAACACTTAAGAGCAGGGATGCCCAGACTCTATCCTGGAGGGCCATTGTCCTGCATATTTTAGTTCCAACCCCAATTAAACACACCTGAAACCGCTAATCAAGCTCTTTCTAGGAGTACTAGAAACTTCCAGGCAGGTGTGTTGAAGGATGTTGGAGCTAAATTATGCAGGACACCGGCCCTCCAGGACCGAGTTTGGACACTCCTGAGTGAGAGTAAAAATTCAGTAGAATCTTTGGATGAACTATCCCTTTAAAACCCTTCAAAAATCCATTTACTGTACCTTCCTAAAAATCCACTTGTAATCTTTGTATTCCAATTATAAATCATAAATTTTTTTTTCTGTAAATATATATTTTATATTATAATATAATAATCCTTATTTATTATTAATATAATCCTCATTAATTCCTGCATTTAATAAATGACTTATTTTGCAGTGAAGTGACAAGCAGGTGCTGTCACTACAATTAAAATTGTAAAATTACAACCAAAAGAACTTTTAGCCCCATTGTACCCACCATTATTGCTAACCATTTAGGAAACAAACAAAACGAGTGTCATCTTACCTCTCCATGTTCTCAAACAGACTCTACCTCACCCTTAATCCCTGCAAAACACATTCACCTAATCTTACCAGCTTAAATCTGTACATAAATGCGCACATTTACACTAAAACATCACCAAGATACAATAGCAACCTCACTGGTATGTGTGCAAACGGCTCTCCTTTTCACTTGTGATGTTGGGACCAAGTGTCAGTCTTGTTCCCTTTTTCTGCGGACAGTAAGAATGTGGCAGATTGAATGATTTTCACTGTGCTGTAACAGAACAAACCAACAGATTATTTTGCTTTAGGGAAGCACTGGAGTGGCAGCACAGGAAGACGGTTCCTGCTTAAGGTGAACCTCGTTTCGGTCCCTCGCCTCCAAACCACATCCATTCACGTGCATCCCAAGAGGTTTACCTTGTTCTGCTGCTTGCCCAAAATAAAAAGGACACAGCCAGACTCCCCCGAAAGCATCTTTTGGAATAGTTTAACCCGCTGGTTCAGATGCATAGCTGGGTTTCAGCGTCCTTTTTGACCGATATTGTGTCATTATGGCTCCAGGAGTTCGGGACGTGGTCTCCATTTAAAGTGACACAGAGGAACAAAAGGGCAAAAAGGACAAACTCACTGTGACTCGCTAATCTCAGGCTCAATGCAACCCACCAGCACTGCAGACACACACTGCCCACAGACGCAATCTACAGCACCAGCACGGGGAATCAGGAAGACCTCTATTTTTTTTTCTCTCTCTCTGGACGTACAGTACAGAACTGGTTTACAGCAGCACTTTTATTAGAACAGAACATTCAGTTCTTTACACTTAGCCAGATGATGAATATGTTGATTGAGAAGTTGGCTCTAAAATGGGTCATATTATAATGTTTTGAAATAAAAGTGCATTGTGCTATGAAATCATACTGCAACTTTCAGAACTTGTTCCCTTGTTCAGATTATGTGTATACGTTTACACAACACCATTCCCATATACATACAAATCTGAAACATGGAAATATATGCAAATCACATACAGTTGAAGTCAGAATTATTTGCCGTGTTGAATTATTAGCCCCCTGTATATTTTTACCCAATTTCTGTTAAACTGCTTTTATTGTAGAATAAATAAACAAATAAGACTTACTTCAGAAGAAAAAATATTACTGTATAATACTGTAAAAACATTTTGTTGCTCTCGTAAACATCATTTGGGGAATATTTAAAAAAAGAAAACAATTCACAGGAGGGCAACTAATTTTAACTTTAATTGTATATGACTATTTATATTTGGATTTCATATATATATATATATATATATATATATATATATATATATATATATATATATATATATATATATATATAATATAGTACACATATTTTAAAATATTGCAAAAATTGCCACATGCATATATTTTTACATATAGATATAATTATATGGTCATATGTGAACACATATATACAATTATAGCTAATATATTTGACGTATTTGTAAATATTTGTAATTGAAATAAATATATAGATGAAAGCATACATTTTTGGAAAATTTCCGTATATAAATGTTGCATATATGACAAATACAGTATTTATATGTGAAATCCAAATATGAACTTGTATGTCATTTGCTTATATTGCCCATATATTAAATTTTTCTGTGGGTTTTCAAAGTTTTTTTTTTTTTTTCTGGGTTTTTTTAGGGGCTCTGAAAATGCAAACCCATATTTCATTTATTATTTTCAGCTATGTCTGAACATGGTTTGTGTTGACAATATCGTCATCACTGTTTCAAATGTTCAAAAAATGATTATCTGATTTTAGTACATTCTTGTTTTGTACGCGTAAACTAAAACCATCCTTCAAAATAAGCAAGTTTCTTAAGAATAACAGTGTTTTTTACATAAACACTTGAGCAGTTCTTACTGGGTGTCCGCTTACAGTAGATAAGCTGTCTTTCCACTATCTCTGACAAACTACCAAACACAGGCTGGAACTTTTCCAATGATGAGTTGAGGTTAGAATTATTAGCCCCCCTGAATTATTCACCCCCATGTTTTATTTTTTCCCAATTTCCATTAAACGGAAAGATTTTATCTGTAGAATATAAAAAAAATAGCTTAAAGGGGCTTATATATTTGTCGCTGAAATAGTTTTAAAAAAATTAAAAACTACTTTTATTCTAGCCTAAATAAAACAAATAAGACTTTCTCCAGAAGAAAAAGTATTATCAGACATACTGTAAAAATGTCCTTGCTCTGTTTAACATTATTTAGAAAATATTTAAAAAAGAAAAAAAATCATGGGGGGCTAATAATTCTGAATTCAACTGTATCTGCCGAAATTTTGGATCAGATTTGAATTTTGGATGCATGGAAATATGACCATATGTGATGTATTCTAATTCAATCTTTGA